ACTGAACATGCAAAGAGCGAAGGAAGGGACAAAAGCATGTGGGAATTCCACAAAATCAGCAGGAAGGTCTGAAAAGTTCTGGAGCAAAAGTTGAAAATGGAAAATCTTTTTCCTTTAATTCTGTTAAGCAACTAGAAAATGGAAAATGTGACAGGTGGGTGCATAAGGGGGTCTGGGCGACATGGCCATCAGTCTTACGTCCTCCGACCTATTTTGTCAGGGCAATTACACTGGGTAGATCAGATGCTGCTTGCTAGTAACCCAACGTGGGATATACTAATATACTGGGGTGGCAGAGATGTAACGAGGCAACTTGGGACAGGTGGAAGCAGCAGAAACTTCTAGCAATGGCTGTGACACTGGTGTAATTGTGCCGCTGTGACTAGCTGTTAGTTTTTTATCTCACCGCAACTGCTGAAGTCAGAGCCAGTGCAGCTGTCCTGGTCACCCTTTCTTAGTTATGCTACTGCTAAGTGGCCAGGATGAGGGACTCTTTGGGTTAGCAAGCAGAGCTGGCTAAGTGTGGAAGGAAATGCCAATTGCCCCAACTCAGGAATCCCCAGCCATGCAGAAGACACTGCGTTTTCCAGGATTGGGATTGTTTGCTGTGAATGTGGTGCTATGCTCATTCCTCCAGAGTACTCTTGGGTTTTGAGAATCAAGGAAGGTGGCTGAAGTGATAGCCCGGGCAGCTTTAAAGAGGAGCTAAAGGCACAGCTTGATGAGGAAAAGGGGCAAATCCTGGAGCATGAGGCAATCATCATCACCATAGGAAAAACCACAGCCATTCCTTCCCAGTGAGGCTTCGGTCCTGTGGGAGCTTCACATACCCAGAATAGGACCTAGAGCTCGCAAATCTCTTTTGCTCTGTCTGATATACCTGAGCTCTGCTCTCCAATTAATAAGGCAAATCAAATCCACTGGCATTTGCTCAGGTGAGCAGAGCCAGTATTGTGCAAATGTGTTCTTCCTCCTTTCCCTTAATAATCAGTAGGTGGCAAAGGAGAACAGGATGGTGGATAAAGATGCACAGAGGTAGAAATGCATGCAAATGACAGAAATGAAGTGGAAGCAAAGGCAGTACTTATTTTATTTAGTTTCTGAGGTATTCAAGGATGTAGTCATAACAACTGCACTATTATCTGATATTTTCCCCTGGGTGAATGGCAGATTGGGTCAAGAATGACCTACCTCAGTTCCTTTTTATTGCTTTTCCTCGTTATCTTATTATCTGGTGTGACCATGTGTCAAAGTGACATTGTTTGACAATGGCATCAAATTCGCAGTAGTGCATGAGAAGACATATGTGTTTCATTCAGTCCTTCTGACCTGTCTTTGGGACTACATAAGCCAGTAAAGCCTCAGGAGGGAACTTTATTTTTTTCCTCTCTCTCTGGTGTGAAGACCAACTAATGATAACTAATAGCTTGAGCAGCTCTAATTAAACACCACATTGTGGCACATCTGACTTGGCAGGTAACTGGTACAGTCATAGCCTGAAAGCAAAAATCAAGAGAGCTAAGCTAAGCTAACTAAAAAATCTTGGCTTCAATTTTATGTTTAACCATTTGAATGCCAGTAGATTTGTCCATGGATAAGTACACCTTATTCATTCCAGGGGGGAAAGGTGGGAGAGGGGTGGAGATGGGATGGAACCGGAGAGGGCTGCTTTCAAATGAGTGATTTAGAATATGGCCAGACCGCAATGTATGTGAGCTTGCACATGCACACACATGCACGTGTGCGCACAAACACACACACACACGTGTATGCATGTATATGTATGTGCGTGTGTGTTTTATTTGTGTGTGTGTGTGTCTGTAATATTGTTATCTCTCCTTGTCTCTCTCTCTCTTCAGGAGAGGAGGTTTAGCCCCCCTGTCATTATTAAGTTTGGCCTAGACGGTCCAACAGCAAAAACCTCACGTGTCAGGAAGAAAGTATTTAGCATCATATCTCCAATTTTAAAAGACTACGGTCTGTGGTTTCTGCGTGCAAAAAAATAAATAAAATAAAAGCCCCAAAGCAATGGGAATATATGAAAAACAAATATCCGTTTGGATTATTTTGGATGTGATTAGAGATGAGAGGCCAGTTCTGGTTGCAAAAACTAAAACAAGTCAAGGGCTTCAAAACTAACAAGGCCAGAAATCCAATACCGAACTTTAATAATTTATCTGCAGCCAGGTAATCAGGGTCAAGCTGTAGGAGACATCCAGGGAACAGGTAGGTGGTGGGAAAGGTGGTGTCAACTGTTCATTTGATTGACTGTCTCTCAATCTAAGTCCCAGCGTGGTATGAAGGGCTGCTGCTGCACTGCTGGAGGTGATGTCTTTTTTGGATGAGATGTAAAATGAAGTCCTGACTACATGCGGTCAGTAATGATCCTTTACCATTCTCTGTAAGAGCATGAGCTGGCCCAGGTGTCCTGGCAGGATTCCAACTCTGGTAATTACATTCTGCCAATCTAACTTGCCCCTGCGGCTTCAATTAGTTATGATATTCTTCTCTTGCTGTACTAAACTGTTGTGCAGTTGTTCTGTTCAAGTGTCTGTGTCTCAGGCATGGGTGAAGAGTTTCCCATTTAGGACATGTATCTTTTAACTTCTACCTGAAAGCAACGTCTTTTAAACTCAGTACAAATACTGGCCTTTGTGATTACTGTTATAAATATTAGAATGGCTTTGGAGCTGGAAAAACATGGGAAGGGCCATCAGTGAAGGGTAACTGCAAGTCCTGCTGAGCCTTGTTATGCATATCATGTCTGTTTAATAAATAACATACACGGTAATAATGTAGTTAATGTTATTTCTGGCCACCTTTGATTTACAGCCCGAACAACCATTTATAGCTGGGTTCAATTGCTAAGTACAGAGTCAAAAAGCCCAATTCAGTCTTTGCAAGTTGGTCTAAGTTGCAGAGATTAAATGGAAACAGAAGTGAACACACATTTACCTTTGATTCAGGAAATATAGCCACATGCCTGCAGTGGCTCAGGCCAGAAGCCAGGGGATGCTACAGCACAGCTCTCTGGCTGTGTGTTCACTTCCTCTTCCTCCTGCCCACAAGGGCAATTATTTTGGGCAGACGGCCGCTTACCCAGCTTTGGCAGGCTGTCGAGGGCTGCATGGGTAGCCCCGCCCCTTCATAGGTGCCCCGCTCCCTGGTCACCACCTTGGGACCAATGTCCCAAGGCCAGCACTGGTGGGGCCCAGAACAGGCCATAGTTGCAGCCAGCAGTAAGTTTGAGCAGGAGAAGGGGTGGTTAGTACCTTGCCCTGGCCCCAGACCCCATCTGGGGTTTGTTTGAGGGTGGGGGGAAGCACCGCCTTTCCATAGGCTGGGCTGCATCCCTAGCTGGGCTTACCTTGCCCCCCCTTGTCTGCCAGCCCTCACTGCTCCAGCTAGGGAGCAGAGGGGCATGGCCAGGCATGCTTTTTGGAGCAGACAGCACAGCCCAGCACAGACAGGGAGGCAAAGCATGCTGGGATGCTGGGGGACTATGATTGAACTTGAAGCAGGAAGGGGTCTGAGACAGAAGTTTCATAAATTGGTTTGACCCAAATCAGTTAAGTCTGAAGCTACATTCAACCAAGTTTATCTTAAACCAGTTTCTCCCATCTTGAAACTGGCTTACATGCACTGGGCTTCTGTTCTGTTACAGATTTAAACCAGTTTGTGATCATTTAAACCAGTTTATATGTAACTTCTCTCCCTAGCCAGTGACAACAGCCATTGGCATGAGTCCAGAGTGAAGCTTGAACTCATATCTCCTAAGCTATAGGGAGACACTTTAACCACTCTCCCATCATTCTGCATATTGGCATATGCAACATGATCTTTAACAAACTGGATGAGGGGATTAATAAACACCACCAAGTGGAGTGATGCTGTATATACCAGGGAAGACAGAGGAATAATTTGCTCCTAAGTGGTGTTTTGTTACTTCTTCCTTGTATTCCTTACTCATACTGCTCAGTTAGTAGCATCTGAAAATGTTAAATTTCATTTAGAAAGCCACAAGATAATGCTGTTGTGTTTTTAATAATTGGATAGACCTACTTTAAGAAGGGGAAGAAATCTAGAAGCCAGCAACACCAAGGGAGACCAAATGGTGACAGGGAACAGCAAATGAAAGTCAGATGAGCTAGTGGTGTGATATTACAAAAAACATGACTGAGCACTACATATACAGAGATATCATGTCCTTGATCAGGGAAATGATAGTTTCTCTGGCTCGATTGCATCCGAAATACTATGTAAACTCTGCCTGCCAGAAAGACTTAATAAAGTTAGAGGGAGTTCATGGAAGAGAATTTAAAAAATGATTAAGGGGCTAGAGAGACTGATTAATGAGGAATAATTAAAGAGCTAAATTATGAATAAGCACCTGAATCTAGTGATAGGTGTTGCTGGGAGTTTTGCCATTGACTGAGAAGAAGCAGTATCAGCCCTTCAGAGGGAGATATAACAGACTATTTTAAAAGTGTAAAAATGAAAAAGAACTGCTTTTTGTGTTGGGGGAGGGGTAAAATAGGGGGAAGGAGTTGGGTTTAAGAGATGAAAGTTCCTAATATTAAATATTACCTGTAGAATACATCTTCTAAGGTTAAAAGCTTCATGGTGTCATAAACAAAGACACAGAAGTGAGAAAAGCATTCAGAAATGTAGAGGAAGGACTAAATCTGCATTGTGACTGGATGCATGGATTACCCAGTGCTGTAAGTCTCTTCCATCTCTAATTTATATGGATCTCCATGCCCAATTACAGCTTCCCATGCAGTAACAGGGTGCATTGTTGTGCTTGGCTACCCTCAGCATCTGGAACATGCATCACTAATACTGCTGGCAACACTCAGCTCTCCAAAGCAGACCGAGTAGCATGGGGTTCTCACATTACCACCCCCCTTACATCAGTGAGCAGAGCTGGCCAACTACAGAGCCAGGAAAGAAGGTATGTTAAAGGATAGTGTAGTTGTTTGGTTCCCTAGACCTTTGAGAAGCATTATCCCGGCTTCAGGCACAGTGCTTCCCACAGCTTGTACTGGAGCCCAAGCAGTAGTTAAAGGGCCCAGCAACCTCCTCTTAACCAAGTTTTGTGGAATGCAAACATTAACCAATGAAGATAAAATCACTTCCTGATTTGATCATGCGCGGGAGTTTTTCTAAGGAACTTTCTTTAAGGTCTCTTTCATTTCATCTCAGTGTACAAAAATGAGTTTAAATGTGATTTTTAATGGGTGTCTCTCTTCATAGCTAAACATGTTAACTTATCTACTGATAATACATGTGGCAAATAAAACAGCAAAACTCGCATGGCATATATCAATGATTCTTGACATTTTTAGACTTCAGGCACCCCTCAGGAAATGTCAGCTCTTAGCTTTTGGGGCAGGGTTTGGTTTTTGTTTTTTTTTTACTAAGGAAAAATAACAGAGATATTCTCTGGTTGCAAAGAACTCATAAATCCAACAGCAGGTCAGACTGCTTTTGACACTGTGGATTCCTATTTGAAACCTCTGGGTTTATTTTGCAAATTTTGTTTGCACTAGAACATTGTGTGGAACCCTTGAAAGGATCCTGAGGCACCCCAGGCCAGCAGGACACCCTGGTTGAGAATCACTCGCATAAATTCTTGTTTGCTTGTTTAAAATAAGCCCACAATTCAGGAAAGCATTAAATATATGCTTAACTTTAAGCACAAAGTCACCCCCCTTGCCCAATTCTTTTCTTAACCTTGGGTGAATTGAAAATAGCTCACCTAAAGAGCAGAATGTGACGGCCACTGGCTGCATCTAAGGCCATGTACAAATGTTTGTGGGATCTGATCTACAATTATGTGGCTTACCTTAAGCAGCATGGTTGTAGATAGGATGCTGGCTGTAGAGATGTTCATCTGGTCTGGGAGCCTGATCTAAGTCAATTGGGGTGGGCAGGATCAAGGGAGCTAGTGGGTCCATGGTGCAGTTGGTGGGCTCTGTAAGGGGCTCATGGGTCTGTGGGAGGGGTGTTTTGTGGGATCAGGGGGGTTGGTGGGATTGGAGAGGTTAGCAGGTCTACAGGGTGGAGCTGACAAGATTGGGAAGGCTAGCAGCTCAGCTTGGGTTTAGCAGCATTTGGGGACTGGTGGGTCTGCGGGGGCAGAAGGGATTGTCTGGGGGTGGAAGGGTCGGACAGCTAAAGATAGCTCTATCAGGGTTGGGAAGTAGGGAAGGAAAAAGGGCAGCCCAAGGCTGGGGCCAGCAGCTGGGCTTTCCCAGCCCTGGGGCTGCGCTACGAATGTGCACATTCCCAGGATCTGATCTGCAATCATGCAGCTCACTTTAAGCCTCATAGTCATAGATCAGGGCTTA